CCAAGGCGATGTCAGTCAATAGGAAAGCATGCCAACTGAGCTACCCCAGCAAATCCAGCTAAGGTAAGATGAGAAAGTATCTCTACTAGAACCTCTTCCATGCCAGCCGGTATGAAATGACTCCTTCTCACCTTCAGAATTGGGTGGTCACGTCCATTCCAAAAATGCTCCGATACGTGAATAGACTGATATCTCAATAATGAGCCATCCTCTGGACCAGAATTTAAAACCCTACTCTGCGATAAAGATGATGCCATCTGAAATTAAATTTGTCAACTTAAACTTAAATTATGTACGTTCAAATTAATAAATTACAAATTCTATTCATTTTATCATTTTATTATTCATTATTAGTACATGAGTTTTATTACAATTATTTAACTCTAACAATTTCAAATTTTAAAATTAACATAAAAATTATTCTATTTAATTATTATATTATTTATTTTTATTAACAATTTAACAACTTTTAAATATTATTTTACAATTATAATATGTAGCAATAAATATTATTACGTGCACTCAATTAAATATTATATATAATTTTTTTTACTTTAAATTATAAACAAAGAATACTTTCATGTACTAAGTTTACTTCGTATATCAAATTTTACAATTACAAAAAATAAACAAATACATAATTTTATCACACCTATATTTTTTTCTGTAATTCTTCGTATTAAACCATAAAATCATTATTTTTTTAATTTCATTAAAGTGTTCCCTCATAAAAGTTAAAGTTTATTCCTATTTAAAGTTTAATTTCATTATCATATTAATTATTGAAAAATTTAAGCAGTTGAATAATTACGATGGATATATATGTAAAAAAAATATATTTCTAAAATTTTGTAAAAATTCTTATGTTAAAGGTTGGCAAAAAAAAAAAAAAACACATTCAAAGATGTTTTATTTATAAAATCATTTCAGCTAAATCAGATAAATTATAACATTTGTAAAAGATAATAATGTATTATTTTTTAGCAAATTAATTACTATATTCTTACTTAAAGTAAAACTTATGTTATGTTAATTTTCATAAAATCATTATTTTTTTAATTTATTATATTTATTAAATAATTATTTTGTTTCTTAAATCATAATTTTTTTTAAATATGTAATGTTTTAAATAAATTTGATGACATAATTATTTTATTTTATTGCTAATTTTTTTATAAATATAATATTTTAATTATGTTTATAATTATTTTCTTTTCATATATTATCTATTTTATAATATAATTGTATATGTTCTTTTAATAAAAATATTGTATTTACTATAGCTAATATTTTTTATTTCACTAATTTTTTTATATATCAATCTACTATCAAAATAAGAAAATTTATTATTTCTTCTACATTAATTATTTAATATTTTCACTGCATTCTATATATTTTTTTTATTATCATGTTTTTTATTTTTTTCTAAACTATATATTTATATATATTATTCTTTCCTCTTAATTTGTCAAATTATTAAAATAGAATTTTTTTATTTAATAATTAATACATTTTATGGATTACTATAATTTTTATTTATTACATTTTAAACAACTAATTATAAATAATAACATATCTATTATCTAATTTCTAATACAATTTATCTAAAATTTTATTTGTTACAAAATAAATTAATTAATGTATCAAATATTTAAAAACTAAAATTAATTTGTGCACTTCCGCAGCTTTGAAATGGATTTGAAAGAACTGACCTCCACTCACTCACGAGCCATGCACTCACCCACAATTACCTGCACCACAATCTCAATATTACATACATGTGATTTCATATTTAAAAAGTAAAATATATTCAAAATATTCGTCTCATTACCTTTTAATAATTTTTTACTCAAAAATCTTAATACACGAAGCCAACAAAATGTTATTTAAACGCTGTAATTTTTTCGGCAACAACAAACCTCTCTGCAACCAAAATGCGAAACAGAGAAGATGAAGGAGAAAGGGAAGAAAGGAAGAAGCCCGCGCCCAAACAGTCAAACTTTTCTGCCACGTGGACCAATGAACGGAGTGTCGTCCCTGACCCAGACAACTCTCTTGAATCGTCCCTGACCCCACCGACACTGAAGTCAGCTTTAACATAGATGATTCTCTGCTATTTATACACATGGCTTCGTTCTTCTCCACCCGTCGATTCATTTTTAATTTTTTTTTGTGGCTTCGTTCTTCTCCAATCGTCGATTCATTTTTAATTTTTTTTGTTTATTTGGTACAACACGTGTATCGTCTGTTAATTGGACGATTTTGCTTTTTGGTGTCGTCCCTATTCTGGACGATTCTCTTGCCACGTCACCTGCCAACTCCAGACCGGGAAATTATTTACATGAAGCCTTATTTTGATTATTATTTTTTTAAATCAACCACAAAAGGGCAAAAAAGCTGCAAATTCCCTATTAGGTAGCTTCTATAATTAATTGTACTTTCATATAATTTATTTTATCTCCTATTACAAATTGAATTTAATAACACAGTGCTACTAGGCATGAAAGCACTTGATAAACATTTTAATTTCTTCTAGCATTAGCATTGTTCTATGTATTTCTTTGATCTTTGATGACCTAACGAGCTTGGCGCATCCTATGACACCAATTCACTTAATATCTTTGGCTTTTGTGTTTTATGAGAACTCTATTCATATCATATGAAGTTCATTTAGACAAAATTTAGGTGTATATATAATTTTAGTTTTCTAATTAGAACATATATGCATAATATATTTTATTTGATTAACAGTATAAAATTTTGTATATTAAGAGTGCGTCAAAATTATTAATGTCTTACAAAAATTATACTTAAATTTTGTTGGATATATTTTTTCTGCATAAGTAAAGGCTATAGCTAGATAACAACCTTATTGGAATTGGTGAATGAATTACTTATTGATAGAGATTTAGCACATTCGAAGCCAACACATTTTGTAACCAAATAAATGAACTAGTTCACATAAATAAATTTGTAATTACAGATTTGGATGAATAGATCCTTCCCCTCCTAAATGGATCCATAAAAGCTATTAACCACTGCAAAGATAATCAAAATCCTCCCCACATTATGACGATACCAATTCCAGTACTTCCGTATCTTCGATTCCGGTCCTGAACGTGATATTATGGCTAAAACCTATGAAATCAAATCATAAACATTAGTGAAAATTAATGTGCTATTATCAAATTACAAGCTGTAAAAAATAGTCGTTTTAAAGACAAATTGACCTGGTGGAATCCAAGGACGATGATGAAGATTGATATTTGTGAAGAGTCACTTTGGCATTTAGTTTCTTATATAAGGCATAGTGTGGATTCATCAGGAAATTGACCGTTGGGTCCAATGGCAAGTAAGAGATGAGTAGAAGGTCGGGTGGTTTTCATGTACACTAGTGAAGTAGCAGCTGGAACAAGTGATGCATTTATGACATGAAGGTCACCTTCATCTGGAATCACTTGCTCTTTTGATGTTCCCTTCAGATCATAAATTTTCATGCCCCCAGCATTATTGTACATTATATTTTAAATATGTTGGATCATTTGATAATGGAATTTTCTGAGCTTAAGCATCATTGTACAATTTAAATTATTTTTTGCTTTGTTTGATATGCTATTATGAGCTTGTTTTCATTACATTTTAGTATGAATGAGTCAGAAGTAAAGCAAGAAATTGATGCAATGCAAGGAATTAGTTGTAGCTTGGCAATTCTAGTGGTTGTTTTAATATATATATATTTTTGCCAGATTCAACTAAAGATTTTTGTGAAATCACGATACAAGTCATGGAATTTGGAAGTAAGAAAAAGATGGCTTCATGTCAACTAAAATATGTCCAGCAATCATGAGGCTTGAGTAAGATTAGCTAGCTCTGTTTATAATCTATAATCTATAATTTTAGCCTTTAAAATGAAGAAATAAAATTAAAAAGAGCTTCCAAGTGAAAAGTAAAAAAAAAAAAAGACTTTAATACTTAAAAATCAGTTCACATTATTTTCTTGTAATATTCTATGATAAATAAAAGAATATTTTTTTTTATCTAAATTTCAAACACTATCTTCTCCTAATAATATTAGTAACTATATTAACCTACAATGATATTATTTAAAATTACTAAATTATTTTTTGTAATTTGTCATAAATTTTCATAATATTTTTTAACTTGTTTTGATAGTACATTTTATTTTGGTTATAATTTGAATATTTTTCATATAAGAACTAAAATAAAAAAATTATGTTATATATAAAGATTACAAGTGAAAATTTTATGTTGTATATAGAGATCAAAATAAAAAAATATTTAAATATAAGATAACAATATCATAACACTAGTTCGTGATAAAGATTGTTTTAATATTATTTTTATTTAAAAATTTATTTAGAATTTTTTACAAGGATTAAATATAAAATATGGGTTTTATGTAGAAAATAAAATAATATTTAAATCTATTTTGTAATATTACACTAAGTATGTTTTAAAGTTGAATTTGAATAAGAGGAGATCGGTAGAGAAAAATTTTATTTTAAAATTAAGAGAATTATATAATATTTATAGAATTAAATAAAATATTAATAATTTAAATTTAAAAATTATAGATTAAATAATATTTATAAAAAATAAAAATAATTTCTTTTGAAAATCAACTATTGAACATATCCTGAGTTGTTTAAATTAGTTTTTAGCAATATTCTTGTATATTATTTTTTGTGGTGAAATTATATAAATATTTTTGAAATTTTAAATTTGTGTTATTCTTCTTTAAATATAAATATGTTTGAGCGTTAATAAAAATATGATGGATATTCATTGCATATTTTTAAGGAAATATCTTGATATATATGCACAATTAAAAATAATTTTAAAATTTATATAAATAAAATTTAAATAATTAAAATAAATATAGATTTAATAAAAAGACTGATACATTCAACTAAAGTGCAGCAAAAAATGTCATGTCACAGAATTTTGTTGTATTTTTTTTGTTAATAATTATATAAAATATGAGGTTAATAACCTGATTTTATTTTTTAAAAATTATGAAGATTAAATTTGATAATTAAAATTATATGACGAAAACTGTGTCAAAACAAATACAAAAAACAGGGGAAAGAGAAAAGGCAAAAATAAATAATAATATATTGTGTAATGTATTTATTTAGTCTTCATTCTTTCACGCTAAATATGTATCGCTGTTTCTCATGTTTGTCTCTTTAACGCACTCTTCCCGCCAACCAGTAACGGCACGTTATGGAACCCATCGTGTGTTTCACGCGCTCTCTTATTGGCTTATAACTATAAACTTCGTTAACTTCTATAACGATTCGCCAACACAACCACCATAAAACCTGTTTCAAAGACAAAGTAAGGAGACACACAACCACTATAAAACTGGTTCCAAAATAAAAGGCTAAGATTCACAACTAACTTTGCGTGTCACTTCGCCTTTGTCTTGAGCACAAGCCTTCTTCATATCGGTTTCCATTTTTCAATTATTTTTATCTAAATTTTAAACCTTGGGATACTAAGTGTCATAGAAAACTAGAGAAAATGGCAGTTTCAAATGATTCAGAAATGAAGATTGATGTGCAACCAGAGCCTAGTGTGGACCCCAACGCCCCGAGAACCGGTGCCCGTGGTTCCGGTGCCAGTGCCGCCGGGGTCCTACAACTGTGGAAGAGGAAAGATATGCTAAAAAGAGGCTCATTGGGGTTTAGAGGAATTGCTCTATTTTTCTCTTTGATTTCCTTCATCCTTGTGGCTAGTAACAACCATGGTGATTGGAAAGAATTTGACAAGTACCAAGAATACAGGTATGAATCTGAATATTTTTTTATTCAATTTGGTTGATGTGATGTGGGTTTGTGAGAATTTTGGGTGAAGATTAATGGGTTTTAGTCAAAATTTGATTTTGTTTAGTGTGTTGAAGTTGAATTGGAATTTTGGATTATAGGTACTTGCTGGCTGTGGCAATTATATCTAGTTTGTACACTGGAGTCCAAGTGTTTCGTCAAGTTCATGAACTTTCCATAGGAAAAAGCCTGCTTCAGCCAAGAATTTCAGGGTTGATTGATTTTGTTGGAGATCAGGTTTGGCATTCCTTCTCCTATCGCATTTTTAATTGGTGCTCTATTTTTAAGTAACGATGGTGCTACTCATCTCAAAGGTCAGCATATTACAGATGTAAATTTTAATTTTAATTGAAATATAATATTAATAATATTTATAGTACTGTATTTAAATTTAATTTTAGATTATTAAATGTGATTAAGGTATGTATATAAATTAATTTGTTTAAAATAAATCTTATAACTTAAAATAAATCAGTCCTGAGCTGCGCTTTTTTACTAGACTGTTTAATGATTGATCAATTTGTTTTTCCATTGTTGATATGGCACGTTGTAGTATTGTAGAGTGAAGTTGTTGTCGCTAATAGCTGTTGTAGAGTGAAGTTTTAACCAATGTGGTGAGTTACAGTTGTACGTAATGTCTAAAAACCTGGCTAGAAACCTTGACACTTCTCTTTGATGCTACCATTCGGAAGGAATAAAATTGGAAACTTATTTCTTCAAGCAATCAATGACATCTAAAGTGTTATATATTCTAACATGGAAATAGGACTTTCCTGTTAGTTCTAAATGTTTCTAAATTCTAATATAATATGATTTTGAGTGAAAACTGCTTATCCTCTTTAGCCTTATATATAAAAAGGGTTAGTGGGTCCTTCATAACTCTCTCACTCAAAACCCTCATATCAAATTGTTTATTCTTAACAGGCAAGGACAATGTTTAGGCCATACCATATGATTGGCTTCTATGTCCTATTTGATATATTTTGAAATTTTTTGTACAATTTTGGGTGATATTTTTTATTTTATTGTTTGAGTGTATTTACATGTATATAAAATTAATAAAATAATTATAGTTGAATAAATTTTTAAAAAAATTCTTATAAAAAATTTAATATAAAAAATGAATAAAACTTTTTTCAGATTTTTTTAAAAAAGTCCTTTTATTTTACTTCTTTATAATTTGAAGAGATAAATCATTTTTAACTCACTAACAAAGTTTTATTTATTTTTTAGTACTAATTTTTTTCGAAGTTTATCTTAGAAAATTTTTAGTTGTTGAAATAACATAAGATTATGAAATGTTAGAAAATTTAGCTTAGCTTGACTGGCAAATTGTGTGGTTTCAGGTTGTGGCATATCTCTTGATATCATCTGCATCTTCAGCGATTCCAATAACAGATAGAATGAGGGAAACCGTTGACAATATATTTACGGATTCTTCAGCTGCAGCCATTTGCTTCTCCTTCTTTGCCTTTCTGTGTGTAGCACTGTCAGCTGTTATATCAGGACACAACCTTTCTGCTCAAACTTATACATGAATTTTCAAACTATTTTCATACCATGTCTCACTTTTGGGTTTGTTTAAGTCATCTCCTAAAATAAATAATCTCATTTTGGGTAGACTAATCAAATTTTATTTATGATATGTTAAATAAAGACTTTGATGGAATTTTCAACACAATATTTTACCTATATTAGTCTACTTAAGATAATATTATTTATCCTATAAAATAACTTAAACAAACCCTTCATTTTTCATTTATTGAAATTGTTTGCTGAAGTGAGTATAAGAATCCTCCGTCCCTTTGAGTGTGTGCACATATTAGAATAAGATATGAGATTGTACTAATTTCATGCCTTTTTTTATCCCCTATTTGACACTATGCTGATGGTGTTGGTACTTTTACTTTAGTGATGAATTTGAAAGAAGCAAATATTAGAATTGGATTCTTTTATTTAATTATATAATTTGATTCCTATAATATTCTTTTGCTTTGATGTCGAATTCGGTAGGTAATAATACATAGAGAATGAATAACTTTAGAGTAATTAAGAGAAAAAAAACATTCGAATTAGATTCTTTTAGTAATATAAATTTATTACTCTAATCTCAAAATATAATATATATATATATATATATATATATATATATATATTTAACTAGTTATAATTTATTATTTCTCTTTAGATGTAAATTAAATAAAAAATTTTAAAATTTTTTAGATTTATACTAATGTGAAAAGATCCTTCCCTTATTTTTATATATATATATAAAATTTTATGAGCCTATTAAATAATTTGAATTTTATCCTTTTCATTATTTGGTAGGATTGACACCAGTTTCACCAAATAATATAAAAATTATAAAAAAAAAATTCAAAAAAGCATATTATTAACATAAGATAATATCAAATTATAATACTAAGTATTAAAATTAATAAATAATAAAACAAATAATTTTTTTTATCAAATTATATTTTATCAATTCAATTATTTAATCATGACATTATAATAAATTTAAAAATTCATAAAAGTGTAATTTTTTTAGTTTAGACGACGTATATCTCCTACTGAAAAAGGTCATAGAAGTGTATCCTAATAATAGATATTTACTTGCATTTTAAATAACAAATTATATATTAAACAAAAGTAGAATTAAAAAAATATTAATTAAATTTTAAAGTGTATAAAATTTTATAGCTTGATTTAATTATTTTTATAAAAACTTTAAATTTAATAGTTAAACTTCTCAATCATCTTTCCTAGTGAAAAATAAATACTTGATTTTGTTCATGTCAGAGCGGCTTCAATCTTAGACCCTGTTTGAGTCTGTAGAATTTTTCAGCAGCGTGAAAATCTTCCAAACTAAATCAGAAGTCGCTGACTATTTCATAATTTTAAGTATGGGAGGACTTTGACTTAAAAATTACACTGACACAACCAAAAGTAACCATAACTAGTAAGCGTAGAAGTTTGTATACCACTGTAGAAATTGATAACACAAGCATAAATCATCTTAAAAAGTAAGCAAAACTCAGCAAAAGAAACATTTTTCTTTCGTTCTAAACAAAAGAATGATAGAATTCAACGGTCAACACTTTTTCTATACCTCTATTGCTAAATTGAAAGTTTTCAATAAGGCCTAACTCATGTCAAGCTTTAGAATGCTTTCAGTTCTATTCTCTAATCGTAGTAAGCTAAATTAGTAGATACCCTTGATTTAGTTTATTCTAATTTATTCCTACATGCTATACAAAAAACACATTAATTATTACAAGTGTTATGCTCTAATTTCAAATTCAAAAGTTCTTTGACAAAAAAGACTGAAGGAATGAGTCATTATTATCCTTAGCCAAATATGCAGCATCTGAGAATTGTTCAGGATTGGCGAAGGAACTCATTGATTTGTCCAAAGTTGAAAATCCAAGACTTGTAGGGCTCATGAGCAAGTCCATTGGGAAAGGTTCTTGACTTGCACAAGTTGTCGGTGGTAGCTTTATGTCATGAAGTGAGTTTGCGAAACTTGATGAGTTAGAATAATTAGTCACTGCTGAAGGCCTTATAGGGGCAGGGATAGTGACGTTGTTGAGAGATGTTTTGTTCATGCTATAGCTTGCATTTCCTCTTCCTACAGGCACATCATGGTTGTGTTTTCCTTCATAAGTTGTGATCACAGCTTTCATGTCATGTGCTGCTCTTTCAACATGTTTTCTCACTGGACAACCTGGGGTTACACATTTGTAGTAGCTCCTGCATACAGGGTTTTTTTTTTAAATAGTTAAGTTATGCTTTGTGGGGCTGGTAACAACAGGAATTTTAACGCACTGCATATAATGGAAATAACTTTTGTACAACTTTAGGGTATGTGTGTAAAAAAAGATTAGAAAAAATTGAGATAGAAATAGTTATATATGACTTTATATACGGTATCATTTTTTAGTTGTTCAAATGATGGATGTGAAGCATACAAGTAGGCTCTTTGTTTCCCTCGGTTAATAGAGTGTGTTTGGAATTTGGATCTCTTAAAAATATTGGTTGTGGGAACAAATTCGTTTGCAGTGTTGTTGACTGTGTGGATACCTTTCTGGAGTTTCCAAAATCAATTTTGTAGTGAATAGAATTGATTTTAGGATAGGTGAAAATTTTAAAACGTGTGTAACACAGCATACAGAGTTTGTCCACTGCATCAAAATTTTCCTTCAAGAACACCGAGTTTAACCATGATTTATTTACCTCAGAAAGTGTGAAAATGTCTTTTCAAAGATAAAGCAAACTGATTGTTAACAAGAATGAATTTTGTGGTTAAGACTTTGGCCATGTTTGTTCTAAAATTAGAAAATTAGTTTTCATGCTTTTAAAGAAAAATATACGTTTAAATAAACGAAAAACATACGATTCATATAAAATTAAACACAAATCTTAATTACATTGAATGATTCAAAATCAAATCTACACAAGTTTAACCCAAAAGGGCACTTGATGCCTGTTTGTATTTGTCACAAAACTCTGTTACGGCTAAAATGTTTTGAAAGTATGTTATGAAAGTTCATATTCGGTTTGATGCAATAACGAATCAGGACATAATATATCTAGATCTACACATCAAATTGAATATATTTTAACACTTAAATAAAACTAGTTCATCGAAACACATTTTCAAAATAACATTTACAAATATAAATAATTTTTTTTAACTTCACCTCTTTCAATATCAATACTTTCAAAATCAATTGCATTAAAATCTCAAAGAAACTGAAATACCTTGGGTTTGGGTTTCCTTTAACTACTTTCTGTCCATATTTTCTCCACCTATATCCATCATCAAGTATATCAATTTCACTAGTAGTTTGAACCACGACTCTGGGTTCCTTAACAGTTCTACTCCCAGAAGTGGAATAGGAATAACCATCATTTTCATTCTCTCCCTTCCTGCAATAAAGAGAATCATATTGATAATAAGAATCTATGTATAATAAGTTTTTTGTTGAAAATTACAAATTAAATGCATTTCAATACATCAAAATATTTAATGCTACTATTCATTGATCTTTTATCATGTAAAATTTTGCACATGATAGGAAAATCAATACTATTATTAGAGTAATATAATTTCATTTACTGATTTTACCATCTTTTGGCCTCTTGTCCAAGGTCATCATCATCCCCTCCCGAATAACAATTTTGTGATGTTTGCTCAAAATCCTCCTCTCCCATAGATTGATCAGAAATCCCTGAGTTGTTGCAGGATGAAGAAGTTTGATGAAGTGATTGAGAACTTGTTTTTCTTGTAGATTGAGGCTTGGGATGGTTGTGACTTCCCTTATATACTATTTCAGTTATATGTCCCTCCAAAGACCTCTCAACTTTCTTCTTTGTTGGGCAACTTGGGTGTGTGCACTTGTAATAACTTCTTGGATTTTCACTTCCTTTCACTTGCTTCTCTCCATATTTCCTCCAATTGTACCCATCTTCTGATCTGCTTTGTTCTCTAACAGACTTTGAAGCATTATTAGTGTAGTTAAAATAGCCAGATCCTGAAGCAGAATTGCTTTGTATTTCAAGTTTGGTTGTGGCCATTTCTGAGGAGATGCCCTTAGTGGATGGATATTCAGATTTTGTTGCTGTCCTCTCAGGTGAAAATTCAGTTTGCTTTGCAGTTTCATTGAATATCAATGTGTCATGTTTCGTTACTGGATCTTGCTGTTCAAGTGGAACAAGGGATTATAAGACAAACAAATCTAAATAAATTCCAGAATTAGCATATTCCAAAGCATCAATGAATCACACCTTATTTATTGTCACTATTTAGTTTGATAACAACTACAATGAAGTTTACAGTTTGTCATAACTGGAAAACACACAAACTTAAGAGACAAGTGCTAAGTAAGTTAAATACTATTCAATGTTATCCGTGTCAACTTAAAAAACACTTTATTTAAGCATAGAGCAATGGCCTACAAAATTTATATTAAATTGCACAAAACTAAGAATTTCTGAAAACATACATGGATATACTTTTAAGTTTGATTCTGTCAACTCATAATATAGTAGTCAAGTTTTGAGTCGTTCAACCAAGCTTGTACCAACAAAAGTATAAAACTAATTTAGTGGAAAAAAGACAAGGAACTAACAAGACATGACTTTAAACAAGGGGGTTAAAAGCAATTTAATAATAAACTATCCCTCAAGCAGTGAAGAGCAGATTCTAATAACACGAACTTGTCCAAGTAAGTCAAGATAAACAGATTGAACAAGAAAAGGTCTCACACCCCTTTTTAATGATCAAATAAATAACCGAGAAAACAGACACATACTATTCAAGCCTTCTTTAAGTCAAATTTATCATAAAAGAAAACATAAGTTACCACTTGGAACATGCTTGTTGAAGATTGAAAGAGAGGCACATGCTTTGTTTGTGTTTGGAAAGAGAGGTCAAAGTAGTCTCTTTCTTCCTCCTTGTTACCTAGTTGGTCCTCAGTTGAACTGTTTCTCCTATTCAAGCTCTCAGAAGACTCAGTTGTATAAGAAGCATGATTCTAAACCATCAAATAAAACAAGAAAACCCCACAATCAGTGATGACCCAAAATATGACATTTGAGTTGCAAAAGACCAAAAGCAATAATCATAGTTGATGATGATTGATTGTAACTTACATATGGAGAAGAAATAAACAAAGGTGAATTCAACAACTCAGTTGGGCTAAAACCAGGTGGAAAATCAGAATAAGAAGGGTAAATTGATGAAGGAGACTTGAAGTTAGCAAAATTATGATCATCCATGGTCATGTTAGTGTTGTTGTTGTTGTTGTTGTTGTTAAGGAGGTTAGTGAAACTGAAAGACATACTCAAGAATTGAGGTAGTTGTTTAAGGAAAAAGGTAGTTGTTGGAAGAGAAAAGAGAGGAAATGAAGCATTTTATGATATGGTAGCATGCACACCACCCATGTCTTTGGAAGCTCAAGGTTGACTTTTGACCGTTGAAAAGCACAACCAAAACGAGTCAAGGGTTGTGGGTTTGACTTGACTGGGTTACCCCTATGATTATTACACAACACCACAAGACAGAGGCGGCTCAATCAAACACAAAATACCATAAATGTACCCTTCTGTCTCATTTCCTATTGGTCACGTCATTTTCTCTACAGAAATTAATCTGACTCAGCCAAAAACAGATATTTTCCCTCTTTTTAAATATATATCTGAAAAATAGATAGTAACTTTGCATTAAAAATCACTTAATTTTTAAGATATTATATAATTATATTAAATGTTATAATTTTTAAGAAATTTATTTATTTATTTATTTCTAATTGTGTCTTTGGAGGCTACTTTTTTTTATATGATTTTTTTTCAAAATTCAAAAAATATAAATTTTTTTGCAAAATAACAGAAATATGGTATTCAAAAAATTTAGAGATAAAAAAGTAAAAAAGTGATAAAATTTTAAAAGTTGTCAATGACAATTTTTTAAAAAATAATTAAATATTTAAAATATACATCAAAAGTCGTTAGTAACAATTTTGGGCTAAAAATCGTCAATAATAATTTTAAAAAAATATATATTTTTGTAATTTTGTAAAAAATCTCATATGTTTTTAATTTTGAAAAAAACCCATATATAAAAAAAATTTCTGTCTTTGGACACATTTTAAAAATTCTATATTTTTTATGATTATATAAATTTTGTTAAATAATTAGAGTTTATTTTTATTTAGTGAAACTTGTTTAAAATGATTTCAATGGCAAAAATTTATTAAAAAGAACATTTCAAATAATGCATATTACAAGTATTTTTTTTTTAAATGTTACATATATCTTGATCTTTAGTAATAATAATAATAATAATAATAATAATAATAATAATAATAATAATAATAATATTAGTAATAGTAGTAGTAGTGTTTGGAAAGATACATTTTTAATGATATATGTTAAAAAAAATGAGCACCATAGAATTTCTTCTTTGACTGCTGGAAGTTAGAATTCCCATCGTGTCAAACTACTAATGTCACTTTGCTTATTGGTTCTTTTTCAGTGGGTGTTTAGCTTGTTTCATTTTTATAATTGCTTAAATAATTTCACCTATCTATTTTCACTTAATAATAAGATTGAGTTTAAAATTGAAACATCAACGAAAAAATACTCATGTATCATATGAGTAATTTTTGTTTTAATTTAAGTAAAATTTTAAAAAATATAAAGCAAAAAGAAACTTAAAAATATAATATAAATATACATTATTAATTTAAATAAATGCACATGAAAACATGGGTGATTTAAATTTATGAAAAAAATAATTTTGAAAATTTTTAAAAAATTAATTTAGAAATATATGAGAGTAGTTTGATTTCTGTTTTTAAAAAATTGTATTATATTTTATTTTTAAAAATAAAGTTATTTTTAAAAATAATTTTTTAAAAATAATTAATGTCAAAATTTGAGATAAATAAAAAAATTCAATTATAAAAAATAATGACATCACAAATAAAAAATAGAAATTACAATAAAAAGATGTCTTCATTAAATAAAATTAATAAAAATAAATTTAAAATAATAATAATATTTTATTTTCAGTATTAACTGAATATTTTATTTTATTATATAAGTATAAATTAAAAATTAAAACTTTTTAAAATATTTTTAAGCACTTATTAAGAACATAATAATATGATCAAACCATTATTTAATGTAAAAAAAAAATGTTATAGTACTTGTAAATTTAAAAAGGTATTTTATATTCTCTTGAAGTTATCAGTTGTACTTTTTTATATTAAAGAATATTTATATTTCTTTTTTAAATATGAAACTAACTATTATTATTATTATTATTATTTTCATCCGATAAGTCTGTAAAAATTACCAAACAAAAATAAGTTGGTAGTAAGATACTTTTTAATATATTTTTTTTAATTAGTAAATTTATAAGAACGTATAGAACAAGAGAAGACATTAAAATAAAATATCAATAAGTTTATTGTGTCCATTCGGTTGCATGGTGTAGTGGTTAGTACTCTGGACTTTGAATCCAGCGACCTGGGTTCGACTGCCGGTGGGACCTGAGTTCTGTTACGCCTCCTTGCTCTATCAACATTGCCTTTTTTTTCTTAATTATTATATCACTTTTTTTCTTGCTCTAATTATTTAATAATTAAAAAAATATAATAGAAGTATAAAATAATTTTCATATAAATTAATATAATAAAAAATACTTTTAAACTAAAAATTTAATTTAAGTAATTAAAAGTTATAAAAATTAAATGTAATTTTTAATTGCAATTTTTAAGAGTAGACTTGAGTCTTCTTTTTGTTCTGAGGGGGACGCATCTGCTTGTATAAACTTGCAATAGAAATCTGGCTTTCTTTTGAGGGAGGAGAAGAGTATTAATGAAATTCTCTAGTTGAGTATCACCAACGCTTCTAACCACTAGTTTGTGATAATACAATAGACAAACGTTGTTCACATTGACACCTTTATATCAAAGTCAATCCTTCCCACAATTATCTTTACCTGTGGAATGTAGAGAAAAAGAGAAAGCATAGGAGGTAAAGAGTCAGAAAGAGAAGGTGAAGTCACTTTATGATAAAACTATAATGGGTGTGTGTCATGAAGTATTAAGGAATTTAGGATTCAGGGAAGAAAGCATGCAAAACTTTGGTGAGGTAGAGAAGAGGAAGAAAATTATATATCAATGGCGGATTCTAGCTAGGGAGAGAGGAGAAAGAACTTTATTGACAGTAGCAAAATTTGCCTAAAATTAGTGGAGAAAGAAGATGTATAGTTCTTTTCAAAATTTGAATGACAACTCAAAGAAATGACAAATTTTGTTAAATTAAAAAAATAGGATAACTAAGATTGTATAATTAAAATTTAAAGAATTAAAATCGAACAAAAATAATAATTTGAAAACAAAAAATACAAGGAGAAAAAAAATCGTATAATTCCTATTAAAAATTAGATGTTAACTTAATAGAAAAAAGAGAAATTTGCTAAACTAAAAAATTAAAACTGCACAAATAAAAATTGATGGACTCAAATTGAATAAACACTAAAAATGCAATTTAACTTAAATTTTAATTAAAAATAAAAAATTTAAAGTAAGATATTACTATCATTTCTCATCTCATGAAAATGGCTAAAACCTTATTAGTATTTTTTAAAAAAGTTATCTAGAAAAAAAAGGTCATTTAAAGCAAAAGCAAAACAAAAGTAAAATTTATAATTTAAATAAACATTTTATTTGATTATTTTTTTTAAAATAATATAATGATAACATATTTACGTAAATTTAACACATTAATTAATTATTTATTACGCAAAATATTATATAATCACCAAATATTATATAATCACCTTAATTTAAAAATAAAAAATTAACGCTTCCCTTCAAAAAAACAAAATGGTCCAGTTATTGTGGGTTAATTCCAGCGCAGAAATCTTAACAAAAAGGGTGTTATTAAGGCGGGGAATATAGTCCACAAAATGATGACAACATGATTAGCAAAAATATTTTGAAAGATCTTCCATTCTTGATGCCTCTGAAAAGATCCAATTGGACAAAAATAAAAAAATAAAATAAGTTTTACACACCAATCACCTTTGCCTTTCCAAGGACCAGGGACCTTATAGAAAAATAAAAAGGGAGTTAACAAAAGTGGTTACAATGCTTTTATACATTTAATTGCCCCTGCTTGATTATCCCGGGCTCCAAAAAATTAAATAAAAAAGGTTACAAAGGTTTTTATACACTTGATTATCCCGGGTTCACTGCTTTTCGCAGACCCAAAAAAGAGATTTACCAATCTTCTTACTATCTATACACTCTGCTTTTCACAGCAAAAAAGAGCGATTGCCCCTGCTTCAAAGTTCTATACCAAGGACAAAGGAGTTACTTGTGAGTTGTGACAGTCCAAAACTAAGCTTCTAGTTGGTGGGACTTACGGAAGAATAATTGATCGCCTCCATCCCAATGGACTAAACAAAATACTTCTAACATCTTCCATACTACTTTCTTCTTTCATTTCTTGTTTTCTTTCCTTTAGTGTTTGTAGGTGGGCAGGGTAGAGAAGTGGAAAATGGATGACTGCAGATGTATTTATTATCTGAGCCATGCAAGATTCATCACTAACTACTGTTTCATATGCCAAGGCAAGCTATCAACTTCAAACAACCTGAGAAAATCCTATTGCATCAGATCTTCCAACTGTAATTTCCAACACTTCGGGTCCAATTCAGCCTGTCCACAAGACAAGAACATCAGCGACAAAAAGGAAACCAGCTTCTTCTCACTAGATGAGATCAGCAAAGATTGACAATGATTGACTAAAGAATTTAAAAGGAAGAATTGAAATTTTAAAAAATACAATAAGACATAGCCCAACTTATATGTTCAATACTTATATGCATGATATAAGAAAATCCAATAAAACATAACCCAACTTAATTGAGTGTTAATCCCAGCTCCTTGAGTTTCACTAAGAATGATAATCACTATGTATAGTTTAGAATTTATAAAATTTCAATTTACGCATATAAGTATTGAACAATTGTTCCTTTGAGAATTTGGAAATGAAGACTTGTCTGGGTCCTGATTAGCAGAAGTGTCTATAGAGAGGGCCAGAATACAGTGATTCCAAGAAAGAAAAGTTGGTTCCGAAATTCTCATTTTCCTTTCAATGCTATTTTACATATAAGATTTAGGAAGTAGACTAGCATGTCTAAAAATTAGTAAATCTTAAAGACAGGAGGAACCAGACATGAGCATACCTGAAACTCTTTGTCTCTCCATTCAAACACACATCCACGTGCTTCTACATGTCTGATAAGCAGCTCAGGTAACAGAGATCTTAGTGAAAGATGGAGCTTCACTTTTGTGAGCCCTCCACAAGCTAATAAGGCAGCAGCCAGTCCTCCAGGAACCAAGCCCTGCAGATGAAGCACAGTAAAGCTTTGAAGGCAACTGATACTAGCAAGTGAAAGCAGCCCCACATCTGTAACCGAGCTATATGACAAATTTATCTGCAAGTCAGGCAAAAAAGATAACATCATCAGACTATTAGCAAAGATTTCTTGCATCTCTGCTGTTTCCCAGAAAAAAGAGAGATGAATAAAATACCTGTCTTAGATTTTGGGAGAAATGAGCTAGTGGAAGCATACCACTATCATCAATGTTATAACACTTTTTTATGTCTAGACGGCTTAGCTGTTTGCAATTCATTGCAATAGCTGCCACACCGATTGATGTAACAAGAAGACATCCACGAATTTCAAGGGTCTTCAAAGTTGAACATTTCGACAATGAGAGTAGTGCCCTGTCAGTGATACTAGTGCAATAAGATGTATTTATCATCTCAAGGCCAGGGCATCCATGAGCAATTGCTGAAATGCCCAAATCTGTTACTCCTGTAGACCTGAAAAAAAGAATAAAACAATCTCTGATGACAACAGAAGACAATCTTAATTTTGACAGCAAAAATCATTAGATATTCATGATGTACTTGCATCTGTTACAAGGGATGGGAGAAAAAATAATATGCTTTAGAAAAGTTAGATCTGAGAATCTTGTTAGACTTGTTTAATCAACAAGCTAAATCTAAATTTCATCAAAGCAAGTTTGCTAGACTTTATATGATTCCAAATGTTTTAAATAAACATTTCAATGGTTTATATATGAATACTGACTACTGAAATAAATTATATCACAAATTTTAATTTTAACTTGAAAATTCTAATCTAATTCAATACTAGTTTGGGAGAAAAAGAAAATTAAAAGAATGCATAAACTATTCATCTTATGAGAATAGAAGCAAAGGCTCATAAAGTTGAACTACAGACCTATATAGATCTAGCTCCTTTAACTTTGAGCAACGCATGCCAACATAGGCAAGTCCTCTGTCAGTTATATTCAGGCAGATTCCTACTTTCAAACTGGAGAGTCGTGAACAAGAAGAGATGGACTTAAGACCTGCAGAAAGAAAAGGTAAGTATAGCAGCTGATGTGGTAGTTAATAATGCCAAAGGAGTAGGGATAGAGGCAAACCTTCATCGTCAATTTCATTATCTGTTAGGTCAAGCTCCTCAAGAAAATGGCATTTTTGTCCAATCAAGACAAATGCTTCTGGTGGAACTAGTGTGCATGACTCCATTTTGAGCGAAGTGAGACTTGTGCAGGAATTTGCAATGCCAGCAATGGAAACATCAGTTATCTTGCGGCAGCATGTGATGTCAACCTTCCTTAAATCTTTGTGTTTTGACACAAGGAAAGAGAGAGCTTCATCTGTCACCCCCAAACATTTGCTCAGACTAAGCTCCCTGAGTGAAATGCACAAATTTCCAATGGCCCTTAATCCATCAGAAGTAACAGTGCAGCCATCCAATATGATTGATTTCAACATGGAAAGTTTATTCAAACCATCAACAAGTGCAAGAGTCACCTGGATAATCAAATGCCAATAATTAGTTACAACTGCAATGAAATCTTTATCCTCAAGTTCAAGAAGAAAAGAAAATTACAAAGACAGAAGAATTACAGGAGAACCATCTGATAGAACAAGTTGCTCTACACATCCAGAAATGCTTGTTAGCTTTGACAGCCCAATGTGACTTAGGTTTTGACAACCTGAGATATCAAGTTTCTGTGGAAGGCACGGAATTTGTCAAATAACAAGTTAGATCAAGAAAACAACTGCACTCTACAGGCAAGAAAAATGAACAATATATTGATATTATACAAGCAATCGAATTGTTTCAAGTAACTACAAAAACAACACATCAAAATTGCAACAAATTTAACTCTTCCATAGAATAATAGAACAAAAGAGGTGAAAAGAAATACAGTAGCTTCTACCCATGTTCACACTCAACCTAAGAGTAAAAAAAGGGAGAAAATAAAATAAATAAATAAATAAAATGCGGTACACCATTTAAACAAGTTTACACTGATGTTGTCCAGATCCAATCTGATTTTTAAATTGAATAATGACAGTCTTAAGATCATTCTATATTTGTCATTAACATATAAACAATGAACGAAACTAACAAGTTAACCATCTGCATATACCTTCAACGTCCTACACCCTTGTTTGAAGAGTTCGACATCGAGGCTGTCGTCATCAATGCCAAAGCATCCTTCAATGACCAAATCTTCAAGATGCTGCAATTTGAAGATTGACGACAGACATTTCTCCGTGATCTGCACAACACCAGAATCAACAACACTAGTTATACATACCAACCAGATCATTTCAAAATTCAACAAATAGCACAATCAATCAAGCAAATCACTAATTCAACCGAACTTCATCACAACAGTCTAAACGCTCTGATTAAGCAACAAAAATTAACCGAACCACCAATTTAGCATTATCCTGTCTAATTTCCCCAAACAATTCTTAGTACCATCAACATTTACTATCATACCATATTCCCTCCCCCAACCAAAAATGAAACCACTTCTTAAATTGGAAATGAATAAAATACATACAAAATTTTTAAAAAATTAAAATAGAATATTAGCATAATATCAACCGCGCACACTAATTACAAGAACACCCCATCCCCCCCCCCCCGGGAGATCCTGATTGGGGTGTTTGAGAAAACTTAATTCCACTAAAAAAAAATAAAATTATCCTCTAAAGCAAACTCGAGTAGCCAATTAACAATAAAGCTATTAATTAATTCCTAATTACTAAAAATAAGCTAATTCAATCACTCATGATCCAAACACAGAAAACATCTCTAACCACCAATCATCCATAACCAGATTCAATCAATGAACCCTAATCCACAAATCGCGCGCGAGAGAGAGAACTCACAGGCAAATAAGAGAGATCCAAAGAGCGAAGCTCCTTGCACTTGATTGCAACCAAATCCACACCCAAATATCCAATCCCCACACACCACTTCAAGCAAATCAACCTCAATTTCCTACATCCCACCGCAATACACCCAATCCCCATGTCCGTAATCAACTTGCACCTGGCCAGCCACAGCTTCTGCAAGTTCCTCGCACGCGCCACCGCCGCCGCCGCAGCGTCCCTCAGCTCCGTCGCGTTAGACAGGTCAAGCTCTACCAGGTTGCAGCAGTTCACTCCGACGCTCAGCAACCCTTTCCCGGTGAAGAACCGCGATCGCGACAAGTCAAGTCGGCGGAGCGTGTTGCGGTACGCGCCGGCGACGAGGGCGAGGGAGGCATCGGGCACGCGCGGGCAGAGGGAAAGATCGAGGTCGGTGACTGAGGGATAGCGGGCAACGATAGCTGGCAGGTGCTCTGCCCGTAACGGCCTCAACGATCGACGGTGTTTGGCTTCAACGGCGTAGAACCACTTACACGTGAGGGAGAAAGACTTTTTATCTAACGGGTCCGTTTGTAGATAGTCGAGGATGGTGAATATTAACTCCTCCGTTAGAAACTCGAACGGGTTTTTGTTTTGCGTCTCTAAGCACTTTTGCTTCTTCATCGTTATTCGCTTGTGACTCTGCGGAGAAGAACAAGGTAAAGTTTCTTCTGTATCTGTTGTTGTTGGTTTGAGCAGTGTGGAAATAACGGTTAATGAGAGATTATTGAGCAGTGTTTGGTTTTTCGAAATTTATGAGAGAGAGAGGACGGACTGAGGAAGATGAAGAGAAACACAAGGACCAAAATGCCATCGTTGTCTTCTTTCTAGTATTGTTCATTTGTTTGTATCCCCGTCTGCAAAGACAAAATTAACCCTATTTCTCCTTGACAATTACACAAGTTAGGTCAGGAGCATCAGAATCAAATAATTAACAAAAATGTTAATCATAATAATTAAAAATTAGAAACAAAATTCAAATATTAATTATTATAACATAGCCAAAACTGTAATAGATAATTATTAAATAAGAAGGGTAATGTAATAGTTAGTGCTTAATAGTTAACAGCATGGTAGATGAAAAAAAGGGGGGGGGTATTTTTGGGTTACATGAGGGAGAAAACAATCCGTACGGAGAAGGACAGGTAAGGACGGAAAAAATACGTTGAAATGAGGAGGGCATTAAGGTAATTTGAGAAGGAGAGTGTCTTTCTCTATCTAATGCAGATGACATATGGTGGAGGAGTATGTGAGGAAGGACAGATTCAAGTGCGGGCAGTACGAAAGGGGCCATTTGATAAAAAGCGACATATACTCTTTCCCAAAATATTTAAAATATTTATAAATTTTGGAAGTGGGTGTGAGGCAAAGAGTAAAAAAAATAAAATGAAAAGGGAAAATGGAAGGTTTTGAAAATGAAATGTTTGTGAAAAGTCCAAAGTTTGGGAAAAAAATATTTGCCGTACTTATAGATGACCTTGCATAGTACCTGCCTGACTCAGATAAGAACGGTTAGAGAGAGAAAATGGTTGTTTGTTAAATGATTATGAGAGAGAAAGTGTGTCATATTTCTACAACATGGTTTGAATTTCGAGCCTCCAATTTAGGTCATGGAAGCCATTGGTGTGACTCATACACGCCATTTTAAATCATTTTTTAATATTTGTTATCTCAGATGTTATATTAGTACATCCCCCCAAACACCGTACATCAGCGTAGTAAGGTTCTTCCTTGGAAACCCTTCTTCTTCCAAATAGACTAGTTAGGACTTAGGGGAGGGTTGAATCATTAGACGGTTATAGTGATCTATTTATATTTTTATTTTATCATCATATGCTCCATACGCCAAAAGGGAAAATTATGCGTCTCTTTAATTGATAATCTTGTTCTAACTTGACTCGTATTTTAATTTTAAATTTTAATAAATATAATTGTCTTAAATATTTTAAAGAAATTTTTTATCATGTATAGTCATTTTATCTAACTTAAACATTATTATTTTTAATAGAAGATACATGTAGTATAAATAAATAAAAATATTACATGTGTGTTTAAATAATATAAAAAAATGTTTAAAATAATTTATTATATCTAAATCGAATAAAATAATTATTTTTAGGGTAAAATTATAAATATATATATATATAATCATGTATAATAATTAGTTTGTTTTTAAAATTATTAATTATTAAAAATAAAATAAAAATAAGAGTCAGCTAAAAAGAAATTTTAACCACAAACTACAAACTTTTACTTATCTTAATCAAGTTTTTTTTTCTGTATCAAAGAAATTAAAGATAATTATAATTTATTTACTAAAACTCATAAAAAGGTATTTTTTTTGCAACTTTTTCACATAATTAACAGAAATAAATTCAACTAAATATATAAAAGAAATATATTGGCAACGTATATACTCGTAAAATAATTCGATCAACAAAGTATTTATTGTGAAACAAATTATATATAATTTGAAAAAAAAATATGAAATCGATTCAATATTAAAAACATTTTATAATGCAAAATGGCAGACCAAAATCTATTTCGGATTTGTTGAATCGATGCTATCATGATACTGCAACACTTATGAACATGTGGTCAAGATCTCTTCATCCAAAAAATGGATGTTTGTGGAATAGTTATATATATGAATCTTAATATCTAATGATAACATTTATAATATCTAATTATAGTTAATATCAATTTTAATTAGCTAGCAAACAAAAGTGTTTCCATTTTATAAAGCTTGGTTTCATAATATCTCAATGTGACTGTGTCTGTTAATATCATCTTAGACTTGATTTTTCTTGCACTTGCACCTTTCTAGCCTATGAATTCCTCTCTTTTTTTACGTTTTATATTGTGTGAGTGTGTGTTTTGTTTATTTTTATCTTTGTACCTGACGTTGGTAATTGTTTTATAATTTGTGTATCAATAAATATTTTTATTTTAGATAAAAATATAGAAATCAATTTAGACTTATTGGTAAAAGAGTAAAAATTAAAAATATTTAATTTTAAAATTTGAGATGCAAAATTAATATATTTTTTTAAAAATAATACAAGTTGAGATTTGAGTATTTAATATCGAAGTTATTAATATAATATTATATAATTATAATAGAGTTGTTACTTATTAATTTATTTTATTGCTAAGCGTGAAAAGATTATAAAGAAAGGCACTAATTTGTTATAATGTGTGATATTATTTATATAATATTTGTTTAGTTGATTGTTTTAAAAGAGTATTTTCCACAGTAAAGTTTTTTGTATTTTTATATGATATTTTAATTTTTTATTAGACATATTATTTTAAAATATAGATAATTTTTAATTTATATATTATATGATACATTACTATTATCTTATTATTAATTATTTTTTAATTTATTTTATTATTCATTTAAAATAAATAAATTTTTAAAATGAGAATAAAGATTTTATATACAATAAAAATATAAATTACCTTTTTATATAAAAATACTAAAATTTCCGTGCATCTCAAGGGTTAACAACTAGTTAAAATAATAAAATCATTACCTCTAAACCTCTTCCAACATGTACAATGATTTGAACTTACTATTGTATCTGAATGGAATAATAAAGTAATCAAATCTCTTTACATATAGTTTATGAATTATTGTTACACATTTCATTAAATTACAAAGTTATAAATAATAACCAAGCAAAGCACAATTAATTATAATATGAGAACATCTACCAAATCATGAGACCTATGAGTAAATGAGGACTTCTTCAATATTTATAGTCTCAAGTACGAGAAAGTTCTGGGAAATTTCAATTACAAACAACTAATTAAATGGTCAGTGGGAAATTCTATTGATTTGGAGTATATTAGGTAGTTGAGTGTTAATGGGGCATTGGTTTGAATAGGAGGAAGCTTAGATGGAAATGCAAATGAGTGGTCAACAATGTGTACCTAGTGGCTAGTACTACGGATACATACTACCCTACCATTCAAATGTATGCACCTATCAAATTTCTCAAGAGGCAATAAAGTCAAAAACACAACCACAATTTCTCTTTTGCCTTTTGTTGCATGCTACATGATTTTGGTTTATATTATAAAAACCCCAGTGGTCCCATTGTTTACTACCCATTAAGCCATTATCTTTTTATTTGGAAGACACGCTATAAAACATTCTCTTTAATATACAAGTTTTTTTTTCTATATATTACACAGGTATTCTTTTTTTCTATTTCAACTACAAATATACAAGTTATTTAGATTTACCAATTAAAGAGACAAATTGAAAACAATTAATTTCAAATTATCGGTAGCTAAGATTTGACATTGAAACGATTAAAATGCATCCTTAACTGTCCAGGGAAAGAAAAGATCACAAATAATAGACAAGTCTGCACTCTGCACTGTGATTTTAGTTTAAAAAAGTATAATGATTATTAATGCATATTGTACATGGCTCTTAATCCTTCACATTCTGAAAATCTTATTATTTAGGCTCGTAACCGTTTTCCGTAATCAACTTTATTATACTTTGCTTATGAATATATTATTAATCTAAAAGTTTTAATGACTATATATTTATATAAATAATAGTAATAATATACTTTTAATACATTTTTTATTATTGTTTTAAATTAATTTATGAATAAGAAAGAGTGAAATCCACATAATTTTTATTATTTTCAATAAATTTTGATTAAAAATAAAAAATTACAAAAATATTAAAAGAGTATTTTACTAACATTTCTCAATTTATATGTATAAATTCATAGTTAAAACCTTGAATTTACAAAAAAAAACAAGTGAAACATGGATCTCGTCGTCATTGGATAGAATTATCTTTTAAAGTTCTGTCTAAATTTTATAATTAAAAAATATTTTTTTAAAATATTTTCTTCAATTAAATATATATATATATATATATAATTTTTAATTAATATTTTTTATTGATCTCATAATTAATTAATATTATAATAATATTCATACTTTATTAATTTATCAAATAAATGCATGATAAAAAACTATATTCAAATTAATTAATATACCAATAATAGGTTTAAAAGTACGAGCATATAAATACTCAAACAATGAATATACGAATATTAAAATTACTATGAATGCGAATCTAAATATTTATTTTTAAAATATAAATAGATATTATAATTCCATATCCAAATTTTACCCATTGAGATGTCCATATATGTTCAGAAGGCAATTTGCAATGCTAAACGATTGAAAAAGTATGTGATTCTACATAAAAAAGAAAGTGTGTGGTTGGATATATTGGAGTTATGTGGATTATCCGTACACGTGCCATGCCAAACGAACGAGATTTCTTTTCGGTTTTTTTGACCGAAAGTCATAGATTCCAACATGCACCGAATATTGGAGAGTTCTAGAACTACGCTGCACTGCACATTTTTTTTTTAGTTGTTAAATGCTGCAGGGAGTGTGTGTTTAGAAGATTTTTTTTTTAGTAAAATACATTCTTTTAAATATATATTTTTGAAAAAATATTTAAATTCTTACAAAATTAATTTTTAATTTGAATTTTTTTAATTTTTAAAATTTTTTATATAACTAATTAAAATATTTTTAATAAATTTATAATTAAATTTATGTCCTAAAATTTCAAATAAAAATATCTAATTAAATTATTGATCCAATAAAAAGTCTTAATACCATGAGAGACTCTTTTCATCTTAATATAAATTATTTTAATGTAGTGAGAGGCTTTCTTTTTATTGTACTTCTATATAATTTTACTATTATTTATGATTTTCATAATATTATTTTCTTGAAGAAAGTTAATAACATATTTTTTAATATATTTTTTAACATAATTTTTATTACAAATTAAAATTAAAAAACTAAAAATATATAAAAAATATTAATTTAAAAAAATTCACACAAGTTTTAATAAATTTTAATAATAATAAATGCAGCTCTTGCTAGTATTACCTTTTATCTTATCATCTTTTCAGGAATGCACCAAACACGTTAATTCTGGAACTGGTGTGCACCATGCGCCTGTTCTATATGTTAAGAAAGCTGAATACAATGGGAGACTCTTCTCAACTTACAATAATAACAATAATAATAAAAGACTCTTCTCAACTTAAATTAAATTTTGCAGCCGTATAATTATTTTTCTGATTTTATGATATTATATATTTAAAAAATGAATACAGTGCTAATTTGTTGATGTTAAAGATTTTCAAGATTAAAAGTATTACTTTTCATAATTAGAGAATTTATTCAACATCACAAATATTAAAAATTATATTAAAATAAAATAATGGTAATTGATTAGTTGTATGACAAAATAATAAAAATATTAATAATTATTTTATTTAGACAATACTAACATATTGTATTATTAAAATAATAAACTGTTCACTTTGAATATATATTCTAGCAGAATACTTTTATTTATATTT